CCAATCTGACTGTGCCTCTCGATATTTTCGGGGCATATATTTCATTGTCCAGTCCTGGACTAACAACACCGATCGGCTCTCGAGTTTGGCTAAAACTGAATGCTTCGCCTCAGTTTGGTGGACTGAACATAGCTGATGGGCTTTCCAGCTAATGATATCATCCCTTGCCTGTTTGATTGTATGCTGCATGTCAGCTTGATCTTCTGCTGACGAAAGCGCACTTGAACACTCATCTTCTATGGTACACGATACTTCCTGTAATTCAAAACACTGCTCATATGACTCATTGTGGAGATGGTCGCAGGAGCCCCGAAATTCAGCATTGCTTGGGTCACTTAGCGCGTAACTTCGATAATGAGGCCTCCACTGCATGTACCTAAAATAAAAAGTAAAATGACGAGCGCGTGATTCAGCGTATATCTGCAAAGCATTGCATGTGCATCTGATCGACATGTAAAAAAGATTACTTAACCGATTCTCAAAACATTCCTGCTGGAGTTAAAGCAACCATTGTCTTTATTCCCTTCACCGACGCTTTACGCTTTTGTTTTTTGTTTACTTTCGTTAACCGATCACATTTGTTTTACGCGGGAAAATTGTATCTGTATTTTCGTTCCATAGGGTTTTCACTGTACGGTTTATATTTATGAAATTTTGTAAAGTCTATTTCTTTGTTGTATCGTTTTCGTTCATGATAGCAATATATTTGTTTAGATTTCTTATGTGAGGCAGAATGAATTGTCTGTTGATCTCGTTACGTAACAGATTATCATATGTCACGCAGAGTGACAGGAACCTGTGAAAAATTAAAATCCGACAAATCCCTAGCGTTACCTGCCGTTTTGTACGGGACTCTTTTTAGGTGGGACGTCAAAAAAACCAAAATTAGGATCAAAGTAGACTAAACGTAACTGGGTTGTGACACGCTGTAGAAAATGACAACAACAAGTAACTTTATTTTACTCATCCCGGCTTAGTGGCTTCAATGAGTTAGCCGGTCAGCCCCCCTCACACCAAATTGCAAAGTACAGTATTTCGAAAATATCTTCCAAGCGGAATAACAAGGGCCTATAAAAGATTTCTAAGGTAAGGAACTATTGATGTCAAAGCAAACATAAAAAGCTAAGTGCGGCTGCGACTCAAACAATGCTTTGCTTGTGTCGTTGCAATGTTGATTTTGTTCATTTCAATATGGCGCCATTTATAATTTTAGCGAAGTTTGGTTGGTTGGTATATCAAAACAGCAGAAGATACCAGAAAAATCAGTCAATGAATTTGAAGACCCATCTTATAAGCCCTCGTGATAGTATTGCTGAAGATTTTGAGAAACTACCATATGTATTTTTGCCACACTACATTAAACCGGGTTTGGCGTAAATTAAAAATAGCGAACAAGTCCACTAGTAATTAACCCGTGGTTTCGTCAGGAAGGACACGATACAAAAAATATCATTATATCTTGGTAATGGAAGGCCACCTGTATATATGTATCATGTATCATGCAAGGACGGCCTGAAAACTGCATAATTTAGAGCTCACACGCACTCATTTTCGATCATGCAATTAGTAACGGTTTATTTCCGTTAAAATGAATATTTACACAAACTAACCTCACTTCACTTTAAGTAGTACCTATAGCTACCTGTAGGCAAAAAATGGGACGAAACGATTTTTTGACCATGTTCGCGATTTTGTTATTTTTCTTTTATTTTTAGAGATATTCACTCTTAAACTGAAAGCAACTATCAGGAGTTTCAGAAGGAGCGTTTCCTAGATATTTCGAACCGGAAATGAGGACTGAATATCATTACGGCGAGTTTTTTTTTCACCCTGAACTATGAGTAAGAAGCAGGTGAACAGAGCACAGTTGATTTTTTTTACAGGTTTTCTCAAATTAACGGCTTGGGTAGATGTAGTTTGCAAATTTTACTCTTAATTGTCTCTATAATAGAGTTAAAATGTACAGACATTGTATATGTCCAATCATCAATGCAGTTTCGAAACCTGTAATAGTTTTCAAATGTCTGCCGAGTCACGAGCACCAAAAGTAAGCTGTGCGGGGAAATTTTACAGAGTTGATTGGCGTCATTTAGCAACCGATTTAAATATGAATTGCAAAGAAGTGAAACATAATTTGCAACCTCATGATTCCGCTCGTTCATACAAAATAAATTTGCCAACAACAGACCTTTAAGACGACAAGGTTTCCCGGTACAATTTAGAAGAATAAAACAAAAAACCATTTAGAAGAAAACGTTTCCTGATACAATTTAGAAGAATAAAACTGTAGTTTGGAAACCTGCGATAGTTATCAAATGTCTGTCGAGTCGTGAGCACCAAAAATAAGCCTTGCTGGGAAATTTGTAAGAAGACAACGTTTCCTGATACAATTTCGAAGAATAAAACTGTGACGTTTTCGAAGCCATCATGTATCCCGATCAACTTGATAAAAGATAAGTCGCTTAAACGACGTAGACAGAATTTTTCATGGCGAGTAAGGCGTTGAGAGGTCAGCTTGTCGAAAGGCACGGAGAATAGGACACTTTGGAGAATGTGGGTAGAGATCCCACCTTGGCCTTACATACGATATCCCCCACCACCCCCTCCCTCCCTCCCTTAGTTCCGCAGCTCAACGACTCTCCCTGTAATATTTTTTCGTATCGTAAATGATTACTTCCACATTGCAGAGAAAGTTTTAATTCAAGATACCTTAAACTTAGTACAAAACTGAGTTTTAAAGTTTTAATATAGAAACGTGTAGTATATCATTTTCTCTGACACTTGAAAAAAACTTGGTTCAAGATATCGATATATATATCTTACAAGTTAATGCTGAGCTAGACTAAAGACGAACGCATGAGCTTCAGCCATTAAAGCAGACGATGAGGACAAGCTAAGTGGGACATTTTTTTTTAAAGTGGGGGGGGGGGGGGCTAATACCCCCAGTCCCTCCCCCTGCGCGGTCCCTGAAGACGTTAAAAAACGATCTGAGCAGGAAACATGCTCGTTAATTACAGTCACTGAGAGTGAAACGCGCTCCAGAAACAAGAGCAGGTTTCACTGAACAGATTTCCATAGAGCGTAGCTTTCTTGTGTTCTGTTCGGCTGTATCTTCTGTGGCATGGTAGAGATACAGATAAACAACTCTAACATAGCAGTAGCTAAACATTGTTTTTGTACCTAAGACTATATGCCACTTAATCAAACTTGAATGAAAATCCATATTCCATAAACAGAGAAGAGTACCTTTAGTCATTGTTGCATTATACCTAGACATGTATTTCATCCCTGAACCAACAAATATCCCCCTTGATTTCATATCAAAGGTGCTCGATACAGAAAAACTTCTAATACATAACCAGCGTTCATAAAATAACATTCGACATAAAGTACCTAACGCACTCAACTAGAAAACCTACAGAAACGCCATCCATTTCAAGAGTGATTACACGAAGCTCTTTGGATACACAATGAATTAGAGAGAATAACTCTTTCTCTACCTTGACTGACCCGTCATATGTTGTGATATAGTGTTAACCTCGGGCTGTCTTTTGTTTTCATCTTTTTTTAGACTACTAATCTTTTAGAACAGGAAAAATAACACCGAAAGAGGAAAGAATCTATAACCACAACATATTATAGAGTTAACAAATACAATTCCCTAAACGACGCCACGGTCTTTTAGGTGGTTTTAGACTGAAAACTGAAACTTGTAACTATAGTAATGATACTTTTTGGTTGGAGCCAAAATTAAGTAGTAAGCTTAAGTCACAAGATCTTGAACGATGAGTATCAACTATATCTATGATAGTTAATTATGCAGGACGTTCAGATAGAAAAAAAAATTTAAATTAGTCGATGTCGTCGACTTCTGTGCCTCCCCAATGTTGGCTGTTCACGGACAGCAAATTGGTTCTTTCTTCATTCACGCCGCTTCCGCCACAAGAGCACCCATGGGAATCTTCATACCCAGTTATTATAAGACGGTAGAAAATAACGCCCATTAATAGGAGAAGAATGCAAGAGTTAATAACAATTACAATCCACACATATGCTGCTGAATAACTCATGGAGCTTTCCATGTTCGAGAACCTCAACAGTATGAAGGACATTGAAAGCACCAGCAAAACAAGGGGCTCGAAAAAGTTTTCAGAAGCAAACTTGTGATGAGGAAGATCGTTATAAGGATGAAAACACAGATGAATTATAGCAAAGCCCACGAGAAGGACCCAGACAGCGAAGGTTTGTAAAGTAGAGGAAGACGAAATTATGGATAACGCAATGGCTAGTAACAGGCGACGGAGTAGCATTACAATCTCAAAGTACTGCTGATACCTTGGTTTGTAAGGTAAATAAGCAGGACCAAGCCACGTGTCAAGTTTTTCACGATCGTCTTGGCTCATGCTGTTTCTTTTTCGAAAGAAAAAGAACATGAGTGAGGAGAGAAGCAAAGGAAACCCAATCACGTAGACCACTACGGAGACAAAACCAAGAGCTGATAGCGTTCTGTAAGTAACAGATGTGCATTCTATCCAAGGGGAATTTGGCATGTACAGAACATCACGGTCATTTTGGCATGGGCGTAAGATGGAAAGAGTTTGCTTTACAACTGGAAAGTAAGTGAAACTTAAACAGAAAAAGGCACTTTGACGGCATTTAAAGTGAACATTTTCCATTCGTCCTTCTCGGGGACGAACCTTGTTGTAGCTCAGCATAACTATAAAGTAGACACCCACAAGTGCCAAGAAACCAATTGGAAGAAGGAGAATAAAAGTAAACTTACCAACAGGATTGAAAAGAGAAGGTAAATCGCATGAAAGTGAAGGGAAATACAAATTCCAGTAGCTACTCAAGTAGCTTTGAGCTGCAATGATTTTTGGAGGCCAAACGTTTGAGCTAGAAACCATGAAGTCCAGGGTTTGAATATAAAACACTGCGATGCTGATGAGTGACTTTGAACCTTTCCCTCGACTAGTCATACACAACACGAAAACTACCAGGTTCAATTTGAAAACCCAAGTGGGTAAAAATTCCAAAAGCATAAAGATCAGCATTAAGAGAAAATGTACTGCTGTTACCATGAACCATTTAACAGGTCGCAAGTTGAAATAAAAAAATGACCAAAGTAGAACAAGGAAAGAAATGGCAAAAATTGGAATGAAAAAGTAGTAGTAAGTAAGATCTCCTTTCACACATTGGTAGCACAATCCGCCAATTTTATAAAATCCTTCTTCACAACGAGGGCAGAATCTGTCAGTGTTTCCTGAATGACATATGTGGGACTGATCGCATGTCGTGTTTAAATTTGGCGATAGACGTTTGGTGTGGGATAAATGCGGATCGTTGGGTGATGTGCCAAGGCGACAGGTGCAAGAAGCCAGCGGATTGCACGCAGCAGGTACTGGACACTTGACGAGATGAGTAACATTCTTAGAATTAGGCGATGGCCAGTAGCCGGGAGCTATCCTCATGATGTTTGGGCGGATATCCTCCAAGGTATTGACATCAACTTGGTTGCACGTCCCTCCGTCCATGCATGATTTACAAAGTCCATTATCTCCGTAAAATTGAGCGTCGCAGATACAATACTTGTATTGGTAAAATGTAGGATCTAACCGAATACGTCCATTATTGAACGTAAAGCGCCCTTCGGGACACGTATAGTGATCTCCTTGATGAGGCCTGATCATTCTTGAAAAGTCTGGCTGAAAGGTATTTGCCAATATGCTTGTTCCTTTCCTCATGAAAGGATTTCCTGAAATATCTAAGTATTGAAGAGCCATGAAATTTTGAGTTCCTAATGGTAGAGAACCTGATAAGTTATTTGCAGATACGTCAATATATGATAGAACTGAGACATCGCCAAAAAAATTAGGTAATTCTCCATAAAAGTTATTGCCACTTAAATCGAAAGTGGACAATCGTAAGAAGTTGAACAGATTCGGCAAGACAGGACTTTCTATATCACAGTAGCTTACATTTATGACAGATAAGGTCGCTGTGCTATTAAAAAGCCCCATGAAACTTTGAAAATCAATTGCCAAGCCTCTATTTTCGGCCAACGATAAGTGAAGACTAATGCTTCCCACGTCGTCTTTTGACCATGGCTTGCCTTCATTAATTGACGTAAACCTGTTTTGAGATAGATCTAAAATATCAAGTGGTTTTAAAAGCAGATGGCCGGGAATATCTCCCGTAAGACGATTGTTTGCAAGATTAAGGTTTCGCAGGGCACTGTTGTTCGGAAATATTTCTGGAAGCTTACCGGATATATTATTTCCAGGCAATAAAAGGATAGCTATGTTTGGTGGAAACTTTCGAGGTATCTCTCCTACTAAACTCACTCCAGATACGCAGACATCCGCCAACGAAGGTATTGCAAATATGTCGGAAAGGTTTCCAGACATCATCCCGGGGGTGTTTCGTAAGGTAAGATCATAAAGTTTTGTCAGTTTCGAAATACTTCTGGGTATTTGTCCAGTTATATTATTCCCGCCAATATCCAGCATCCGTAGCTCCTTCATATTTCCTAAGTCTCTTGGCAACTGTCCCGTGAGGCCTTCTCCGTCCATAGGACTGGCTATAAAGAATTGCAGATTTGTAAGATTGACGATATCCTGAGGGATCTCGCCAGAAACAGAGGAAGCACAGATGATTAAGTTCAGCAATAAACTCATATTTCCAAACAAAAAGTCCCCGAGTCTACCACGAAGGCTTGGGTTACCAGGCACGCACAAAGAAAATAAGTTTCGTATTTTCCACAAATTGCAAGGGAGAGAGCCATTCAAGTTGTTAAAGGGCAGCATAATGGACTTGATGTATGAATTGCCGTGACACGTGATTCCATACCAGGAACAGTGCTCTATTGAACTATTCCATCCACTGCTATTATACCATTGCTTGCCATTTGTATATGTGTAAATATCTAGAAGAACTTTTCTTTCTTGCTCATGTGTAAAAGAGGTGTCATAGGTGTAATTTGGAAGGGTTCCTTGAATAACAATGCGTCGCAAACAGTCTTTTCCTTCGACTCTCAGGAACATTTGCAAGTCTGTTAGAAAAAGATGAAATATTTATGTATTGATGATTTAGCCATTTGAAAAACTAAGGTGTCAGAGATTCTTGGGTACGGGGAAGG